CTCCTCTGGGAAGAAGAAGAAGAAGAAGAAGAAGAAGAAGGAAGAAAACAAAAGCTGGACAAGCATCAACTTTCGGAGCTCGAAAGGTTTATGCTTCCATCTGCTGCTCTGCGAGGGGAGGAGCGCGGTGGGCGAGGGAGAATTCGCCGGCCCGACAGGCCAAAGGCGTGCCATGCTTGTACGTGCTCCGCGCGCGCGTGGCAGCCTCTGGGGGTCCCGGGAGAAAAAGAACCCAGGTCAAGTCCTGGCAGGTCCAGGCCTCGGAAAAAAATAGCGAACATTCATGCCAAATTGATCTGTGAACGCCTCCCCCTCCCCCCAATGTCCAAAGTTGGCGGTGGGCCTGATGAGTTGCACCTCGACCGCAGTCTCCCCCGCGCGTGCCGACTTTGAGTTTGGGGGGCAGGGGGGGGGGTCACTAATTGATTCCCTCTACCGTCCGAGCCACGGCTGCCAGCACTCCCGAGCGCCGCAGGGACCTCCTCGAGCTCCCCAAAGAGGGCCCGGAGGGAGCTCCCACGGAGCCCACGAGAGTCCGAGACGGCCCAGGAGCGCCCAGAGGCGCGACGTATTGACGGCCCACAAGAGGCCTCCGAAGCGCCTCCAGAGGGCCCCAAGGGGACCCCCAAGAGCGCCCCGAAGGGCGAAAATCGGTGCAAGAACGTGCGTTTGTTTGACGACGTCGCTTTGAACGCTCCGAGACTGCCCGAGAGGCCCGCAAGATTGGCCCTCAAGGCAGCCCAAGAGGCCTCCAAGGCGGCCCTAAAGGACCCCGAGACGGCCCAAGAGCCTCCCAAGACGGCCCAAAAGGATTCCATGAGGGACCCAACAAGGGGAAAACGAACATACAGGTCCAGGTCTCCGCCCCAAGACGACCCACAGACCGCCCCCAAGCCCCCAAGAGATCCCGAGGAGACCCCACGAGGACCTCGAACCCCTCCCGGGCGCCCAAGAGGCCCCAGAAAAGCCCGAAAGAGGCTCCAAAGAGGCCCCCACGAGGCCCCAAGAGGCTCTCAAGAAGATTCCCTAGAGGCTCCCAAGAGGCCCCCATGACATGCCCCCAAGAGTCCTCCAAAAGACCCCGAACGACATACCAAGAGACCCTCACATGCATCCAAGAGGCCTCCCCACAAATCCCCAACCCCGTTTGAAAGATGGAGCCAAGTGTCCCAACTCGGCGCACCCCCCGAGACCTCCAACGCAAGATCGGGGACCTTCACCCTGCAACAACCTCCGAAAAGCCCCCAAGCTCACCCCTTATGTTTAACTTTGTGTATGTATATATGAGACCAGAGAAAGACCAATCATAAAATGTTCAGGCCTATAGGGCTATGGGACTATGGGACTATAGGGCTATAGGACCATAGGGCTATAGGGCCATCATATATAGAGCTATAGGGCTATAGGGCTATAGGGCAACAGGACTATAGGGCTATAGGGCTTTAGGGCTATAGAGCTGTAAACCAATATGGCTATCGGGCTGTAGTGCTGTAGGGCTATAGGCCTTTCGGGCTCTAGGGCGATTGCGCTATTGGGTTTTCGGGCTATAGGGCGCTAAGACTATAAGGATATGGGACGATAGGGCTCCTGGGCTATATCGGGCTATAGGGCTTTAGAGCTATAACGCTATAAGACTATGGGGCTATGGGGCTATAGGGCTATGGGGCTATGGGGCTACAGGGTTATAGGGCTATGGGGCTATAAGGCTATAAGGCTATAAGGCTATAGGGCTACAGGGCTCTAGGGCTATGGGGCTATAGGGCTATTGGGCTATAGGGTTATAGGGCTATAGAGCTATAGGGCTGTAAGGCTCTAGGGCTATAGGGCTATGTGGCTATAGGGCTATAAGGCTATGAGGCTATAGGGCTATTGGGCTATAGGGCTATAGGGTTATAGGAATATAGGGCTATAGGGTTATAGGGCTGTAGGGCTATAAGGCTATAAGGCTATAGGGCTATAGGGCTATGGGGCTATTGGGCTATATGGCTATAGGGCTATGGGGCTATAGGGCTATGAGGCTCTAGGGCTATAGGGCTATAGGGCTATAGGGCTATTGGGCTATAGGGCTATAGGGCTATAGGGCTTTAGGGCTATAAGGCACCCGGGCACCCAGGCACCCGGGCGGGCCGCCAAAATCGGTGTCAAACCTCACCTCACAACATGATACTGGAGAACAACCCCAATCAAAGTCGCTCTAGGGCTATAGGGTTACGGGGCTATTGGGCTATAGGGCGATGGGGTTATGGGGTTTGGGGGCTATAGGGCTCTAGGGCTCTATGGCCATAGGGCTATAGATCTATAGGGCTATAGGGCTATAGGGCTATAGGGACATAGGGCTGTAGGGCTGTAGGGCTATAGGCCTATGGGGTTATAGGGCCCTGGGGCTATGGGGCTATAGAGCTATGGGGAGATTGGGCTATGAGTATATACGGCTATGGGGCTATAGGGCTATAGGACCATAGGGCTATAGGGCTATAGGGCTACAGGGCTATGGGGCTGTAGGGCTATAGGGTTACAGGGCTATAGGGCTACAGGACCATAGGACCATAGGGCTATACCGCTATGAGGCTATGGGGCTACAGGGTATGAGTCTGAAGGGCTATAGGGCTATAGGGCTATAGGGCGATTGGGATATCGGGCTATAGGGCTATCGGGCTATAGGGCTACTGGGCTGTAGGGATGTAGGGCTATTAGGCTATAGGGCTATCAAGCTATAGGGCTATGAAGCTATAGGGCGATGGGGCTCTACGGCGATAGGGCTATAGCGCTGTAAGGCTATAGGGCTATAAGGATATAGGGCTATTGGGCTATAGGGCTAGAGGGCTGTAGGGCTTCAGGACTACAGGGCTATAGGGCTATAAGGCTACAGGGCTATAAAGCTATAGGGATACAGGACTACAGGGCTATAGGGCTATAGGGCTGTAGGGCTATAAGGCACCCGGGCACCCGGGCACCTGGGCACCCGGGCGGGCCGCGGAAATCGGTGACACACCTCACCTAACCATATGAATCAGCAAGGACACCTACAGAGGCAAGCTCTGATTGGGGAACTAGAACAACGCGCGCTTCACGCGCACGTAAGTTCTGGCAAGTTCTCGTTGTAATCTAGAGTGTTCGGCAACGGAGAACGCACAGTGGATAATACATTCCTTTTGAAACTTACAATGGGGGCTTTGGGGGCCGTCTGAAGGCCATCCTGGAAAGTCTGAAGCCCCTCTTGGGAAATCTGAGGGGCATCGTTGGCCTTATAACGCTCCTCGTGATCCAACTTCTCAGGGCCATCGACCGAGATTCGCACCGGAAACACACCTACATTGTTGTTGAAAATACAAGCTGGAAAATATCTCATCTCAAAGCAAGTACGGGTCTCGCACCAGAATCAGCCCTTCACCTGCTTTAAACAACACCCTCCAAGAAGGGCGCTTTTCTTCCAAAGGAGGAGAAGGCCACGTTTCTAACCGTTTCGGCCAACTGTTTTAAAGCGCCCAACTGAGGTTCGCACCCGAACCAGCCACTGCACTGTTTGCTTATTCCCTACCTAGGCTCTGCCTAGAAGGGTTCTTACCCTCTGTCTTAAAGGGGCCGGGCAGTGGGCCCCGCCCCGGGCGGTTCCCCCAGGATCCGCCCCGCGGTTCCCCCAGTCCCCTGGGAGCGGTTGGGCCAGTCCCCTGGGGGCTTTAGCTTTAGCTTAGCTTTAGCTTAGCTTTAGCTTTAGCTTTAGCTTTAGCTTTAGCTTTAGCTTTAGCTTAGCTTTAGCTTAGCTTTAGCTTAGCTTTACCTTAGCTTTACCTTAGCTTTACCTCAGCTTGAGCTTAGCTTTAGCTTAGCTTTCGTTTTCGCTTTAGCTTTCGCTTTAGCTTTAGCTTTAGCTTTAGCTTTAGCTTTAGCTTAGCTTCAGTTTAGCTTCAGCTTAGCTTTAGCTTAATTGCAGCTTAGCTTTAGCTTAGCTTTAGCCTAGCTTCACCTTAGCTTTAGCTTAGCTTTAGCTTAGCTTTAGCTTAGCTTTAGCTTAGTGTTAGCTTAGCTACACCTCAGTTCTAGCTCTCGCTTAGTTTAGTTCTAGCTTAGTTTTAGCTTAACTTCAGCTTAGTTTAGCTTAGCTTTAGCTTAGCTTCAGCTTAGATTTAGTTTAGCTTCAGCTTAGATTTAGCTCACCTTCAGCTTAGCTTTAGCTTATTGTTTAGCTTAGCCTAACTGTTACTACAAATGCTGCTTGCCTAGGGGCCCCAGCTCGTAGGTAGGGTCGCACTGGGATAATGTATTTCCAACAACGTACTCAGCCCATCTGCGCCAAGGGATGATACAAAGTGCGCCGACAATAGTGCGACAGCAACACTGCAGGACACGGTGCACGGCGGATATGCATATCGTGCGACGTGTGCGTGGCCGACTCGCAAAACAGAGGGGCAAAATGACAGGAACCATTGCACTGGGAACACGAAGCAAAAAGAACCGATCGGGGTGGAAGAACCATGACCTCGACAAAAGCAGCTACATGATGGAGTATGCCCCCCTCAGCAACCCTCGAAAATGGCGACACTACTTTCACACTTCGCAGCCCCCCAGGGATGGCGAGGTCCCCAAGCCCCCCCAGCAACCCTCGAAAGTGGCGACGCTACTTTCACATTTCGCAGCCCCCCAGGGATGGCGAGGTTCCGTTTGGGTCCGCGCGGGGCCCCACTGCGTTGGCTCCCCAACCAGCCCTCAAAAGTGGCGACACTTTCACACTTCGCAAACCCCCAGGGATGGCGAGGTCCCGTTTGGGTCCCTGTGGGGCCTCAGTGCGCTGGTTCCTCCAGCAACCCTCGACACTGACGAGCGAAAATTTCACAATTCGCAGCCCACCAAGGATGGCGAGGTCCCGTTTGGGTCCGCGTGGGGCCCCACTGCGCTGGCTCCATCAGCAGCCCTCGAAACTGGCAACAGCTTCACACTTCGCAACCCACCAGGAGTAGCGAGGTCCCGTTTGGTCCCGCGTGGGGCCCCACTGTGGACTCCCC